ATCTTTTTAAAACACATGCATCACTATGCCCTCCCTTGTCGCTTCTGTCCCCACCACACTGGTCCTCTCCCTGCCCTCAAACACGCCTAGTTCACACTCATCTCCGAACTTTTGATCATGTAGTTTTCCATCTTTGAAATACCTCTCCCAGATCTCAGCAGAGTTTGTCTCCTTTTCATTACTAAATGTCTCACCCTAAATGCCACTTCTTTAAGGGGTCTTTCTCGGTCACTTTCTACCATGTTTTCCTACTTTTGTCATAGTGTTCTTTCAGTGCCTGAAACAGTGTATCTATTTGTTAACATGTTTACTGTCTGTGGCCTCCACTAGAATTGTAATTTCCAGGCAAGGATTCTAGTCATTTTCTTCACTTCTAGTTATTTTCATCATTTCTAGTGCTGAATCCCCCTTCCCAAAATAAATATGTATGGACTAGCTCCTTAAAAACCCTCACTGACTTCCTGTTGCTCTAAAGATCAAGACCAAAATCGTTAATTTGGTCCATAGGACTCAGCAAGTTTGGCCCTACATACCTCTCCAGCTCATTATATACATCCATCTCTTTGTTCCAACCACTCTGGCCATCTTGCACATTTTCAAAGACATCGGACTTCTTCCATCTCATGGCTTTGGTACTTGCTGTTCCATCTGCCTGGGGCACACAGATCTTCACACCATTGTGTCATTTTCTTGTTCAGCTCTCAGGAACAGTGACCTCATCAAACAGGCTTTCCTGACCCCCTTATAAAGTTGCTCAGTCACTCTATCCCACCGTTCTTTTTTATTTTCTTAATAGCATTTACTACTAGCTAAAATTAATTTTTTATTTTCTTGTTTGTCTTCAGCCTCTCCCACAGCATTTTTAGTTATATTAGTCTGGAGATTTTGTGTGTGTTGTTCATTTCAGTATCCCTGGTGTCTGGGATAGTGCCCAGCAACCACGAGGCATTCAAATATTTGTTGAATAACTGAATGACTAAAACAACTCCAGGAGGTAGCAGTTATTACTTCCATTTTACAAATAAGAAAATGGAGGTTCAGAGAGGTTTTGTCACCTGGCCAAGGACCCATAGCTCATAAGGGGTAGAGCTAGAATTGAAATCCAAACCCAGCCGAAAATCGGTGTCTGTGCCCTAACACTTTCCCCTATCCCACTCTTTGTAGGTCCATCATCTGCCTCAGGACTCTTGGGAACCTACACATATTGTCACCAAAGTCAAAACAGCAAATGTTTCAACTTATTGCAAATACATACACACAGAGACTCACACACACACACAGAGACACGTACAAACACAGACATACACACATGCACAAATAAAAAAACAGCTCTCTTTCCTAATATAAAATTAATCCCATTTATCCAGATATTTGACTGAATACAACAGAATTAAGACAACACCACCAATAATGGCATGAAAAATATTGGCCTGTGGTTAAAGAAGATGCTTGTTCATGCATTCATTAATTGAAACACTTATTATTTATTGTGCTCTGGGGATTCCAACAGATGAGAAAAACAGACCACGTAGGAGCACATGCCCACATGGCCAAGGCATGTCATCTATGGTATATTTCAGTGGTTCTCAACTTGTGGGAGAGAGGAGCATCTGTACCCACTCTCCTTGGATGCTCCCTAAAATGCAGATTCCTGTCTCATTTCCTGCTAAAGCACAGTTTCTATTTCACTGGAATTGCACCATGAAACTATGGCTTGAGCACTATTAGTATTCTCACTTCAGAGATAAGAAAACATGCACAGGTAGGTTAAAC